CCTCTCTTGTCTACAAAACCATGCAGCAACTTTGCCCTCCTTTCCTCTCTCTCTTTCCTTTCCATGTGTGTGTGTGTGTGTGTGTGTGTGTGTGTTAGTGTGTGTGCATGATTGCTGATGAATTTAATGATACTGTCCCCTCCTCTACAGCCAAACGCACAAACAAAGCAGCTTGCTTTACAACAGAACATGTCTCAGAGTGAGTTGTTTCATCAGTGTCCTCCATGAACTTATCTCTGCTGTTGGTGGCTGACAAAGTCACTACTTTGGAAAACATGTTAATCAATGTACTGTCACACAAAGTTTCAAATGTTGCTTGGATGTTGACCTGTTATGTGGAAAAACACTTTGGAGAAGTCTCACTATAGCTCAGTGTTGCATTTCCCTTAATACCACTGCTCCAATTTTTGTTCCAAATTTTGCAGCACCCCCAGCTCACAAACATGTTTACGTATTTCTGCCTCCTCCTCTCTTCCCCTCTCATGTCTGCCCTTTCTCCTCTTTCTTCTGACTCCTCCTGCTCCCTTGGCCACGCCTTGTTACTCATGTTACCTGAGCAAACCAGTGGTCTGTCTTGTCCTCTTTCCTTGTTTTTTCCTTTGCCTTTGCCATCGCCTTTCATCTTTGAACGCAGGAAAGTTAGGAAAAAACAGAGGGTATGATGAATATCACAGAAACGGAGATCATCCCTTCACTGTTTTTCCTCACAGCATCGGTCCATCATCCTTCCTTGATCAACAGCACAGTGTGTATTCACATCGGCCGGCAGTCAACAGCTCCATTACAGCCTGACTCCGCCAAACACACACGTGTTCCGGCCGAGCTAAAAACAGAAGCAGATGGTGTGTGTTTGAGCTTGTTTCTAGGAGAGATACCATTCCTACAATACATTGAGACATATAGCTTCCAAACACGTGCTGTGGACCCACATTTAGTCTGTGGCTAAATTTATATGCTCATTAGATTAAGTCTCCAGGTTTCCAGTTCTATATTGAAGAAGAAGTACTCCTAGTTGCATCGGGTTGTTATAATTTCCAAAACCTGGATCAATAATTAAGGTGACATGAAAGGGTCATGGAAGGTTGCAGTGTCACAAATCCACAAATAGAAATGCAGCAGCTCGGACACCCCCACTGGATTAATTTTATCCCAGGCCCAAGTTTAGAAAGGCCTGCATTTAGAAAGATGTTATTGTAAATGTGTTTACATTGAACTGTCTGACAACACATGGTACTGTAGCAGGGGTTAGAGTGAATAAACTTGTTTTCTCTCAGTGGTATTATTCCTGTTAAAATAAGGATATCCTTTGATTTGCAGGAGGAATAATCTGTAGGAACACAGGTCACGATTTGGGATCCACTTACATAAAATAACATGGGGGTTGTTTAAAGAAACAGAATGAAAATGCGGCTCCCCGTTGATTGCCCCCTCAGGGCGATAGGATAGAGACTGAACAAAAACATACAGGTGTTCAAAACAAGCACATACAAGCAAAGGCACAGCTACACCAGAGCAAAGTGGTGGAGCGTGTTCCTGAAGTTACCTGTTACAAAAAGACAACAGTTTGTAAATTGAGAAACCAAAAATATTACCCTCTGAACAGTTACAACAGTATCGTGTGTCTTATTTACTCATTAATAATAAAACTTATGTGCTTACTCATAAATAGCCCACAACTTTGTGTACATGTACTTTATGTACTTGACAGTGGGATTCTGTGGATGCTTTTCCTAGAAGTCTGCTGTTAAATGAAGATCAACAACAGCTGGGAAGGTCTCGGAGCACAAGCATGGGCGGAAACAGCGACAAAACTAAACGATACAGCAGTGATGTCAACAACCTGACATTTTAAAAAGGGGATTCACCAACTATTTTCAGAGCCACACTCAGACAAGACATGATGTGGGTGTTCTGTCTAAAATATATTAATTCAATATCAATTCAATGCATCCATTTTGTAGGTCTTGTATTATTTGAAAGCTGATTTGGAATAATTTGTGATATTATTCTTGTCTTAAACATAATATATTGTGGTACTGTTTGGTGGTATGGTTTGTTAGTTCTAGTGGGAGAGTCTGGTGTGTCGGATTATTTTCTGTACAAGAAATGTTCTACTTATGAAGACACATCTGTGACATTTATAAAAGAACATTTTTTAATCATTTGCTTACTACAGCAGCACTGTTGCTCAGCTACCAGGAGAAAACTGGAAAGCCACGCAAGTCCAGTTCAGCCAAGAAGGGATTACTTTACTTTGTTGCATAAATTAGCACTAAAATGAGAACATGATCATATCAGACTGAACAGATTACTCAGTGAGTGCTTGTCAAATGTTAATGGAAGCCAAAAAGTGACGCAAATGAAGTCTGTGTGGTGTCACAGAGAGAGAGAAGTGGTAGGAAGTGGGGGTTAAATTAGATCAATAAGGAGCAGAGAGGCAATCGACACTAATCGAAAGACGAAAGGCCTCAGCATGAGCCTATAGTGTGCAATCAGTCCACCAATCAGTGGGTTATCAACATGGCTTACGCAACTGATTGTATTATCTTGAGGAAGTGTTTGCATAACCTAACTTGGTTTGTTAGGTACCCACATGTCATCTCTATTAGCCCCTATTTATGGTGGAATTTTACTTCAGTCTGGAATAAAAACACAAAAGAAACAGAGCTCTGCATGTCTTGTCTTCTGTAGGCATATGTGTCAAAGGCTGAAACAGTGTAAGGACAGAGCCAAAACAGAAATGTGGCTCAAATAAGTGCTCTAATAGACTGGACATGTGGTATTAAAATTAATGTTGATTTGGAGCACAGGGTGTAGCCTAACATTTGTTCCTAGGAAAGGAGAGACAGAGAGGAGGGGGGAGATTACTGGCTCGTCCCCTGGTGGGCGGAGAAACCAGGGCTGCTACATATACAGACCGAGCCGGCCGACCTGAAACAAGATTAGCAGAGACAACAGGATTATCGACTGAAAGAGGGGGAGAAAACCCGGACGGACTATACGTTGGCTTTTACAGGTAATGCTGAATGTACATCTTCGAGTTTACAGCCACAGGACAAGCTCATGGTGGTGTAACTCTGAATTAAACCGCTTTTATGGGGGCATCATCACTGGGAAGTAAAGTACAAGCTGTTCGGAGCCTCGTGCACCAGAAGATGACGTAGCGATGAACTTGATGTCATCATCTTTACAGAAGACAAATTACACAAATATTTAACATTTCTTGGTTTCGACCGGTCCGTTTTTACTTGAATTAGTTGTTTTAACAGCTGGGCAGGTGTTTTAGTCGAATAATTTATGTGAAACTAATTGAAACGTTAACTTGACTAGAAGAAACCGGCTAACTAATGTACTTCCGATCGAATAAATTAATTAGTTTATAGAAATGGAGAAAAAATCTTTTATGTCAAATATTGTTCCTAGAAGTGGTCTCAAAAAAGATGGCAATGGTTTTTAAATATTAACTGTTCCTGTCACCGCTTTGATAAATGTAATAGTTTTATTGTGAAGGAATATTGTTTCCGTTGAACGTCGCTGAACGCAGCCTGTAACTGCCGGCCGGTGTTTCATCAGTCAACTGTTGAACACACGACTCGTAACGAACATTTCAAGGGTTGTCTGCCCCTTGTAATTGTTCTTAGAGCAACAAATGCTGTCATTACAAAGTGCAGTGTAAGTAAACAAAGTTAATCTCCGGTTTTATGTGTTGTTGAGCTTTTTGTCAGTTACTTGCTTAAAAATTTGAGGCTGTTACCTGACGCAAGTGTTAATTAGCAACGCCCATTTGATTTCTGCTTTAGGAATTAGCTCGTTAGCTAGTTTAAGGAGTCTAACATTTGTTTTCACGTCTTAACTGTGAGGTAACGTTACTGTATGCAACAGGTGTTAGACTAACAACTTTGTTCTCTT